AGTGAATTTTTCTCCATTAAAGACTTACATAGAAGACCTCCGTTGAACCTCCATTGAAGACCATTGTAGATCCTCTAAAATAGTGTTGAAGGTAAGAAATCTTTTACATTAATCATTTTGTTATTGCATTTATCATTTTCGGATCTATGTAAACTCCATTGACATAAAACCTTCGATTTCGATCTTGTGAGTGATAGTTTGGGGCTTTTAGTACTGAGTTTCCGAAAAAATAGATTGAATTCGGAACATAACAACCGAATAAATTGTATTATTTCGACAAATTACTTCTAAAAAAAAATAAAATATTGAGTAATAGTTTCCGAATTTAATGAATTTCTTCGGTTTTATATTTATCTGCTCTTAACACTCTCATTTGGTTTATATAAAATAAAATATCTGGAATAAAATTTAGTGAAGAGTATGGAACCATATGTTAATGATCAAAAGCAAACACTCCTATGTACTGGTATTTAAGATTGGTACTCTCTCTCTCTCTTTTTTGGTGGGTAACTTTGATAGAACCTTGGTTGTTGCTTAGTTAATGATTTTGTGAAAGAAGATATGCTTAATAAGAGTTTTTTTTTTTTTTTTTTTTTTTTTTTTTTTTTTTGGGGTGATTGGATTATTGGGCCACCAGCCCCACTCAAATACCAGTCAGTTATATGGGTTCTAAATCAAAATTTGTATTTCTTACCATGTTTTTCATCACTGAACAAAATGAAGCAGGGTTTTTGACTAGATTGTTTGTTCAAGACTTTCTCCCTGCGTTCTTTATCACTGAACAAAATAGAGCATGGTTTCAACTAGATTGTTTGTTCAAGTAAAGTGATAATAATAAAAAAAAATTAAGGTTTAATTTTTTTTAAATTAAAAGGTGTATATTGAAATTTTTTTATTCTTAAAAGATATGTATAGAAAATTTTTCCATATTATATTATGGGGGTTGCTGTATTATATTATGGGATTACTGAATATCTATTATTGTCAATTTCATTTATGATATATAATTGTCATTAAATTAATATTTTATTAAAACCTTTGGCAAGTGGCTTTTCTAGCAAAAAAAAGTTACTAAAAAAATCAAAAGCCAACAACTCATATCAAAAAGTCAAAAATTCTCTTTTCTCTCTATTTTTTACATATCTTTTCGTAAAAAGTCAAAAAATTATCCAAAACATATTAGTTTTTTTTAACTTCTAAAGAGTTAAAAAGTTACTAAATTAATCTGTTCCCAAATAAGGCCTAAGAGTGTGTCTCGAGTTAATTAGATGTATGAAAATAGAATTTTTCGCAAAAAAAGGTGGTTATATGAGAATTCCAAACAGACCCTAAACAGAGAAAAAAATCAGGTATGCAGCCTCTCTCCCAGTAGAAATACGTTTTCCAAACAAAAACGTACAATTACAGTTACAGAGCCTCCCCCTCTCTCACCTTCTCTCCTCCCTCAACCACCAAACTCTCTCTCTCTCTCTCTCTCTCTCTCTCTCTCTTCCTTTCCTTCCATCAATCCATACTATTAGGGACAGAACTATATATATACATTTATAACCCAAGAGGAGAGAGAGTGAGAGGAGAGAGAGAGATTCTTTCTCAAACCTCTCTCCCTTCTTGGCCCCCTCATTTTTCCAACCCCCCATTTCCAAACTTACACTATTCGACTTTCAAACCCTAAAAAAGATAACAAAGAAAAAGAAGAAGAATTATACAGAGAAAAACAGGTAATAATCCTTCAATGTCCTATTCTTGATATGTATGTATAGATGTCAAATTATCTGTCAATTTCTTTTGACTTGTTCGCTTTAGATTTTCTATTCTCACTTCTTTCTTCTCATTCTCTCTCATTCTTTGTTGGTTTTTTTTTAAACGTATTTTTAGGACTGATCACCACATTTCATTTGTTGATTTTGCTTTTGATTGTTCATTTTGTGGAGAAATTATTAAGAGCATCGATTTTGTTTCTGGGTTTGCTTTTACATTTGATTATGCTGTCTGTTTCTGATGGATGACAACTTTTTTCGCTATGGTTTGGTGGTGAGAATTTATGGCCCCCTCTTGTTTATTATTATTATTTTTTGGGTGAATTTATTTAATTGTTGAAATTTAAATTATGGGTCTCTCTTATTTTCTTTGAATTTGTATTGTTCTTCGAATTGTTGAGCTGTGGATCTCTGTATGTATTTGCAAATTTATTTAATTCATTAGCTATTATTGTATGAATTCAATAAATTTCATTTGAAATATTGCATTAGATTGATGATTTTCATTTGAGATGTGCATATTTCTAGGATTGCCTTTTATTTTTTATTTTTGGCAACATTACATTTTATTTATACACATGTATATATATACAAAGACATCTACATCAGCATTTATGTTTTAAGTGTTAGAGAGATACATTGTTGTATAGTGTATTAAATGTTTGTAAATCCATTTAATGTCAATTTATTGTCCTTTCATAACAATAATTCTTTTTTGGATCTTGGATTTGTGGAGGGAAAATAAAAGGGTAGTTAAAAAGAAAAGCATTAGCTTCTGCTCCGTTGGATTTTTTCCTTCCTTTTTATTCTCTCTTCCCTTCCCTTTTCTTTTTACCCTCTGCAAAACCAAGGTCCAAACACAAGCCAAGCTAACCTGTATTTCAATCATTTACGTTTGAAGGTGTGCTTGTCAGCATTCTGTATGGGAATCCAGGAGAGAAAATAAAGAAATTATATGTTTTAAGTGAGAAAAGAAAAGAATAGAAAGATTTTGTTTTCTCTCCCTTTTGTTTGGTTAAGTTGGAGAGGGAAAAAAAAAAAAAAAAAAGAAGAAGAAGAAAAGATTGTAAATTTTCTCTTATCTTGTTTGGATAGACTACATAAATGAAAAGAAAAGAAAAGAAATTATCATGGGTTATATTGCTAAAATAACCTTTTATGTTTTTATTTCTTTAGTATCAAGATGACAATTTGGTATTATAAAAATTTATTAATCACCACATTTCTTTTCTCTCCCAATCTCTCCACTTTTGGAGAGATTCAAAAAATGGATTTCAAGAGAAACCATTCTCTACATTTTCTCCCATTTCTCCTCTTAGTAATCCAAACAGGTGATTAGGACAGAGAGAAATCAATTTCTTTTGTTTTCTTTCCAAATCACTTAATTCAAACAGGCTTTTAAAATCTGTGATTCTAAAACGTGTTGGTTCAAAGCACCTAGATATAATAAGGTAGACAAGACCATTGTGCTAAGAAGCACGGATGCATACACACGACACGACACGACACAACAATTTTCAAAAAAGTTTAGGACACGAACTGTGGGAGACACGCTCAAAAGATATAGGTTAATATATTTATTATATGTCATGTCATCTATATGAATATTTCTTTTAAACTATGAAGCACAAATACTTCAAAATGGGAAACGTATCCGCATCGGATACTACTCTTTGGATATTTGTAGATACGTATTAGGTACTTATTAAAAGTATCGGATACTTTTTAATTATTTTTTCATTAATTTTAGAGCATCGGATACTTAATTTTGAAGTATCAGATACTCCAAATCATGTATTACTCCTAATACTTAATTTAGTTCTTTGATAAGAAGAACATAGTGAGAGTTAAAGTAATAAAATTTGTCAAATTGATGTATCTTTATTTTTTCATGCATGTCCCCTACAACTACATAAAAAGTAAGGAATTAACAAAAGAATATAACAATAATAATGCAATATTTTTACCAGTGCCAAAAGGAAAAGCACAGGGACAAGTTGTGGATTGATTCATTATTGTAATATTAACATATTAGACTTGATATTGAAATGAAATATATGCAAAACTTATTGAAAATTTAAAAAGTAAACAAGCTATTGTCTTAAATTAATACCCATTTCTTAAGAATGTTGCTATTAGCACCTACCTAATATCTTTAGATCCTCCACTTCTTTGAATTCCCACCAATCTAAATGAGTTCCCTTCATTTTCTTTTTGAACCCCACTTTAATTTCAATTGTACCCCTCATTTTTTGAATTCAACTTTTCTTCTGCAATGTTTCCTATCGTCTGCAGTCCCACCCTGCCAACTTCAAGTTCACGACACCACCGTCTTCGATCCAATACTCAAACTCTTCACCGGACTTCCCTTGTTATTCCCCAACCCACTCTTCGTTGTTACCCAATCAAAATCATCCTCAAGCTTCCTTGCCAGTGTCCTCCTCTTCCTAACCCCAACCTCACCACCACCACTGCCATTTCCCTCTCCTATTAAACTTTTCAACTCCAGATCTGCCTCCTCACCATCATCTTCCTCATCAATCACCACCTTAAATTGCCTTCACCGCTCCGTCACCATCAATGCCGAAGGCAGCAATGGGTTTGAATCCTTGTTATCATCATCATTGTCTGAATCACTGTCGAGATTGGTGATCAGATTGGCAGAGATTCAGCTTCACTTCTTGAGGAATTTCTCACACGTAGGCACAGAGCTTCGTGACATTGCCATCATTGCCATCAATGCGGCCTTGGAGGCAAACAAACAACTAAGCTCTGTGGGTTGAGATCGGAGAGAGATCTTAGAGAGAGTTACTCTAGAAGCAAATTTTTTCCAGGAGGAGAGAGAAATCATTGTGATCTGAAAACTCTAGAGAGAGTTGGATTGCGAAAACAGGTTTGGTTTGGGAATAAACAAACAGATTACAAGCGCCCTTTTTCTTTTTCTTTTTTTAAATTCAATAACCTAAGTCATCATCCCCTCTCAAGTGACAAACCTCCAAGTCACAAGACTTTCCCTTTGATTTTTTAATAAAATAAAAAATAAAAATTCAATCAATAGAAGGAACTCTAGTACTTTAGTTTGTGAATAGTAATAATAATAGACCCTAACACACATACAACATTATATATATATATATATATATTAAACACACATTACAACACTAAACTCGCTACCCGGTGGACAGGACTCTACCTATGGTATTATCCCAATCTCAAACTCGAATCAACAAGAGTGCTCTTGAATTGTAGATTAATTCACACCAACCTCAATGAAATAAAACTCACCAAATCACAAATTTCCCAATACTAATAACAATCTTACATAACATCACCACCCCAATCCGAATGACAGAAGTAACTCATCGGATGAATGAATGACGAATAAAATACACAGCAAAGTACACAGTGCAGTAATTTAAAAATGTCAGTCAGCTACATATGGTCTACCCTGCCATCATCCTCAGTGATTCCATCCCCAGAATGCCTGCCAACCAAGGTAAAGTTGAGATAAAGTTTCAATAAAATGCCAACAGTACGTCAAAGAGACGCCACTGGTCAAACAAAAAGGAATTAGGGCGCTACATTGGCCACGTATAGGATGATAAAACTAGTCAGATCCAACTCATTAAAAAAAGAATTTTTTTATAAAAAAACACAAAACACCAACCACCCCATTGTTCATGTACCAAACCACAAATCTAGAGCTTTGGGTAAGCAAGTACACCAGGAAGTGAGGGACTTTGGCTCCCTAAATAATGTCTTGATGTGGTGTCCAATCACTATCAGAATACTCACTTTTTGAAAGCATTAACTGAAGTTGGGCAATTGGATGGAAACTAAAGAATTCAATTTAGGGGTTGCAAAACAAACCTCCAAGAACTGGTTAGATTCCGAGCTTTTCTGTCTAACTGAAGGTTTTCCAAAGCGGCTGAAGCACGAATTACATCATCTGGAAGTTCATCACTGTCATATCTCCAATTGTATTCATCTTTCCTGTAGCCAGAAACGGAGGATCCTCCTCTCCGATCTGAATGCACAAAAACATCAGTTAAAAGTATTTGGAAGTCAGAAGAAATTGTATATAAATTGCTGAAAAGCTTGACAACTTACCAGATGCCTGAGAAAGCGAAACCGGCCTACCACAAGGACAAATTTAAGCATGTCAATGAATAGAAGAAAAAGGAAAATGAGAGACAAAAAAGAAATAAAAATGAAGTCAAGCACCTTCCAAGTGGAGGTAAACCCCCAACAACAGATGATGATGAAGGTCTTCTAATGTTCCGTGATTCTAAATTGGACAAAGACTCAACTTCTGGTGTGATTAGTCTCCTACCTGTACCCCTCGCTTGGGATAAATTCTGCAAAACCAGAACTACTTATCAAAGAAGAATATTGATCCAAGCTTGTCATTACAAAGCTATATATAACGTGAAAACAAAACATCATAGAACCAAATAAGGTTTCTAGTCTATAAATATTAGGTTTTGCATTGTAATAGTCAATTTTGAATAATGAGAATTTGAGATATTAGGCTGTGGCCATTTGTGTTAGGGTTGTGGCCCCCTTCTTCTTCTTCTTCTTCTCTTTCTTTCTAAGGCGTCCTACATCACATATATATAGGTTAACTAAACTAATAAAATCCTATAAGTAAACAAATACTAACAAATGAAATTCTAATTAACTCCTAAAATATAAAAAAATACAAAATCTTCAATTATCTATTTTATTCAAAGCGTTTGTGTTTTTATGTATATACAAACATTAAAAAATCCACCAAACGATGTTGAATATAGAAAGCAAAATATTATGTTTGAAAATGAAAATTAGAATAAGAATTAGAATATGAATTATTTTGATTGTAAGAATCACTCCTTGTGTATATTGTTTCTTAAATTGTATCATGAATATATCATATACACATACTTTTATCTCATTGATGGGTAAGCCAAATAATTCTCTCCATTCTTTTTGGTATCAGAGCAGACCAAGAGGGCAGACTGAGAATAGAATCACACTTGGGATCTTATCCCTTTACCTCCTAGGGAAAGCACGGTTGGTTGCAAATGGGTGTTCACCATAAAGTATCTCGCTGACGACTCAGCTAACCGTTACAAATCCCGCCTGATGGCCAAAGGTTTCACACAAATTCCTAGCAAAGATTTTGGTGCCACTTTTGCTTCTGTCGCCAAGCTTACTTCTGTGCATCTCCTTATCTCCCTTGCAGTATCTCATTATTGACATCTTCATAAGCTTGATGTCAAGAATATGTTTCTCCATGGTAATCTTCTTGAGACGATTTACATTGCTTCTCCACCCGATTTTCGAGCTAAAGGGGAGTATTCAGGGAAAGTGTGTCGGTTACGCAAATCCTTGTATGGTCTAAAACAGTCTCCAAGAGTATGGTTTGGTCGCTTCAGTTCTGTTATTATATCTACGGGCTTTGTTCAGTGCCACTCTGATCACACTTGTTTCATTTGTCGGAATTTTGCAGGTCAGTGTATAGTCTTGTTAGTTTATGTGGATGATATTATTCTTACAGGTGATGACTCTGTCGGCATTGGTCAACTAAAGAAGGGACTTGAGCCAAACTTTTTATATCAAGGATCTGGGATGTCTCAAATATTTTCTGGGAATTGAGGCGGCTTGCTCAAGGGAGGGGATCTGTAAAAATTTATGTATTATTGATTGATGTTTATTGATTTATTACAATGATTCATGATTCCTATGGGTTGGGTAGTTCTTTTCATGTGGTCTCAGTTGTCGGGAAGCATAAGCAATAACCTTCCCATTCTGCATTAAAACACATCCCAAACCCTTATGAGAAGCATCACTAAATACAGTATAACCATCCGTACCTGAAGGTAAGGTAAGAACTGGTGCAGTCACTAATCGAGTTTTCAACTCCTGGAAGGCAGATTCCCTTTGGTCAGTCCAGTCAAATGATGTCCCCTTCTGAGTCAGTTGAGTCAATGGTAAAGCAATTTTGGAGAAATCTCTGACAAATCTCCTGTAATATCCAGCCAATCCCAAAAAGCTTCAGACTTCAGTCACATTGGTTGGTCTAGGCCAGTTCACTACAGCTTCAATCTTCTGTGGATCAACATAAATTCCATTTTTGCTAACAACATGCCCCAAAAACATAACATGGTCAAGCCAAAATTCACATTTAGACAGTTTAGCATACAGTTTCTGTTCTCTTAAGGTTAGTAGGGCAAGCCTCAGATGTTGTTCATGTTCTTCTATACTCTTGGAGTAGATCAATATGTCATCAATAAATACAACAATAGAATTGTCAAGGTATGGTTTAAAAATTCTGTTCATGAGGTCCATAAAGGCAGCAGGGGCATTCGTGACTCCAAAAGGCATAACCAAGAATTCGTAGTGTCCATACCTCGTTCTAAAAGCAGTTTTATCAATGTCTTCCGGTTTAACCTTCAGTTGATGGTATCCCGATCTGAGATCAATCTTGGAAAACACTTGTGCACCCTGTAACTGATCAAATAAGTCATCAATACGTGGCAAACGGTATTTATTTTTCACGGTTACCTTGTTCAATTCATGGTAATCAATGCACAGTCTCAGTGAGCCGTCTTTCTTCTTTACAAACAAAACAGGCGCACCCCATGGCGAAGTGCTAGGTCTGATAAACTTCTT